GACCTGTGGCACTCACTTATTTCTGTGGCGTTAGCACCTTACAACTTCACACAGCCAACCTATTGTCAATGGGGGTAAGGCTAAGAGAGCGCAAACAGCTACCCCACAGCATTGTCCATTCCCTGGTACCACTCCTTCTCTCCATGCCTACTGGTACTGGCTTGATGTAGGAGTTTATCTTCTCACCTGTACCTAAAGCAACAGAATCTTTCTGATCTCCTAACCTTTGTCTCACATTCATTTCTCCATCTGACATGGTCTCCAAAGTGTGTCTCTAACATCCAGAACTCATCATGTTTTCATACATGAAGTTCTCAATAATCTGATCCCTACTGATTCTTGAGCTTCATCTATTGCAGCACCACCCATAACCCTTACTACAATAACACTGGCAACCAAAGTTTTCCAGGTTTACGATGCAGCTCTATACCAGCTCTCACTCTGTTCATACTCTCCAAACAACATTACCCAATTTGTCCACTGAGCAAGGACCTACTGATCTTTTCAGATTCAGCACAAATCACTTTTTTTTAAGGTTTATTTTTATTGGACGGTCAGATATACTGTACAGGAGGAAAAGACAGAGAGGAAAATCTTTCATCCGATAATTCACTCCTTAAGCAGCCATAACGGCTGGAGCTGAGCCTTTTTGAAGCCAGGAGCCTATTCCGAGTCTCCTGCACAGGTGTAGGGTCCCAAAGCTTTGGGCTGTCCTCTACTGCTTTCCCAGACCACAAGCAGCGAACTGGATGGAAAGTAGGACTGCCGAGATTAGAACCGGCCCCCATATGGGATCCTGATGTGCACGAAGCGAGGACTTCAGCCCAGCACAAATCACTTTTTAGGAAGCTTTACCTTACCTCTTTAGGCTGACTTGCTGTTTCCCACTTTTATTCTCTAGTACATTTTAGTACTTAAAAAAAAAAAAAGGGTATGTACTACAGTTTAATCTTCCTACTTAGAATCCACTCTGCCTAGTAACGGAGTACCTAAAACACAGGATGTTCTCAGTAATTTGTGGAATACATAAATGAAGAATCTTTCCTTCTGCAGATAGCAGTGCTTTCCAAACATGTGATCAGTACCAAGAAATATATGATACTACCCTTTCCTTGAAAGAAAGTTCGATGCTCTCAAAATAGCACCTTGACAGATCTTTACCAAGCAGCAATGTGTGGCAGCCAACTCATAAAATTTTCTTTTAAAAGGCCAGACACCCCGGGCCCAGTGCACAATAGCATAATGGTTAAGGTCCTGGCCTTGAACACGCCGGGGTCCCAAATGGAAACCAGTTCTAATCCTGGCGGCCCCGCTTCCCATCCAGCTCCCTGCTTGTGGTCTGGGAAAGCAGTCAAGGATGGCCCAAAGTCTTGGGACCCTGCACCCACGTGGGAGACCCAGAAAGAAGTTCCTGGCTCCTAGCTTCGGATCGGTGCAGCACTGGCCATTGCAGCCACTTGGGGAGTGAATCATCGGACAGAAGATCTTCCTCTGTCTCTCCTCCTCTCTGTACATCTGCCTTTCCAATAAAATAAATAAATCTTTAAAAAAAAAAAAGCCAGACACCCAAAGTCATTAACAGTTGCTTTCTCTCTACAGACCCATCGTGATTCACATAGACTGACAGCTGTCAGATATGGCTAGAGTGAGATTCAAAGTCAAGAGAATACCAAAGCTGCTGTTGTTGCAGAGCAAAATAACAGTTCAGGATAAATACAGAGCATCAAGTGTATTTGGAAGAATCCTTATACTAAAGGCATATAAGCTCCCTAGTTGCACCCAGAGATGCTAATCACCCACTCAGAAAAACATGCTAGAAATAGAAATCTCATCATAACTCTGAAAATATGGCAGATACAAGTAGGATTCTCAGCGACTCAGAGACTGAAGTCCACATTATAATGGACAGCCTCTAACTATTCTGCTTACTGTTCCCTTGTAAGCTTCCCATAACCAAAAAAATGATAAAATAAATACAAATAAACACATGCTACATTTTTCCAACCCCAAATTATACTCACCTTTCATTGGTTGGTGTATTTTGGTACATCCATCAATTGTGGAGATTGCCTGTAACCTATTTCATTTCCTACCTCCTCTTACGATTTGAATACTGAACTAAATGACACAAAGCCAAAAGGCAAGTGGAGGAGTCAATGAACCCAGTGTAGTGAAGTCCCTGACACACACAACTCCAAAACAGCCTTGGCCTGTTAATCTGCCAAGGTTTGATCAACTTTGCTTCTGAAACCTAACTGGGAAATCTTCCAATTAATGCCTTATCCTTGAATTTAACAGTGTTTTATTCTGTATCTCTCAATCAAAGATTCTTGACAGAGAGAATGTGCCTTGGAAGTAGGTCATGGCTAGTGGTGAATCTAAGATATGGAAATGGAAGCAACTGGTAAGGATTCCCCTGCCCACTACAAAAAACGAACACTCCCCGCTCTCATTGGATAGAGCCCACTTGCTGAATCTTGGAAAATTGACAGGAAAATGTCAAAACATTTGAGAGCGAGGACATTTCTGACAAATGTTGCTATGATCCTAGACATATTTTTAGCAAGAATGACCTAGAAAGAAAATTCTACCTCATTCAAGCTAGCCCTTTCTGCTTGCAGGAATCCAAGATGACAGGGAGGCACATAATCATGAAGGACTAGGAAGCTTTAATTTTTGGTCCTGGGTCAATGATAATCTAGAAAACATAGGAAGAAAGGAAGAAAACAGCAAAAGATAAGAGTTGGACCAAGACAATTGGGGGAAGCCATAACCCTCAGTACTTCTGTGCTTGGCAAAGAGCTGTGCACTGGAATGAAGCCAGAGAGTGAGGAGCAAGTGGCTTTGCCTTTATCCCAGAGGCAAAAAAAAAAAGTAAGTAGCAAAACCAAGGGCTGGAATGCAGACAGATTGTTTCTAAGTGAGATCCTGAGGGTAGAGTCCAGTATGGAAGAACAACCCACAGGATGGAAAACGCATACAGACAGTTTGTGTTAAATTCCACAAAAACCTTAAGAAAATATTCTTGTTCCAAAATCAACCTCCAGATAGTCCAATCTACAGCACAGCTAGAATTTGGAATATAGATGATACACATCCATTGAGAAATTCCTACAAAGGATGCTTCTCAAATATGTTTGTAAATTTCATAAAGCAATAGAGAACAGGTTCAATAGTAGGTAAGTAAATAAAATAATGAACATCGCTGAGATTGAAGGAGAAAACCTATCATGATACAGCTATAACTAAATACAGTAATTTCTGTAACTTTTCAGACTATTACCAATCTAGCATCCAAGTTAAAGTGTGTCATGAGGCAGACATTAAGAAATCTACTACTTACAACGCTCACATCCCATATCAAAATGTCCAGGTTTGAGTCACAGTTTGGCTTCCTAATCAGCTTCCTGTTACTGCATACCATAAGAAGATATAGCTAATGGCTCAAGCATTAGGTCCTTATGACCCATATGAGGACACAAATGTAATAACAGGTTCCTGTCTTCAGGCTAGCTGAGCCTTGGCTGTTATGATCATCTGAGGTGTTAGGTAGCAGGTGGAAGTTCTCTCACTATGTCTTACAAAAAAAGTAAAAACTTTCAAAAAAAGTATATTAGTAACTTTCAGCCTCTAAAACATGAGGCCAAAAGGTTTAGATGCTGTTGACAGGAAAAGATTAACTCTGGAAAACAAATTACATGACACAGATAAATATTGGAAGAAATTATACTTTATGGAGCTGTATTGAGAATAGCTTTGGTTTAGAATCCGTTTAAATCAAATGAGAATGTTTGTGCCAAAACAACCCCACACTATCAGTTTATGTGCCACACTCCCTGGAGAGCCAAAGGAAGAGATTTCAAAAGGAGCTGCTGCAGGGACACCTGATTGGTGCCTGCGCCCTCTGCGAGCCTCGGGCAGAGAAGCTGTAACACTCAGAGCCATGGCACCTGCAGCAGGGGCTCCTACCTACAATAGACTTGCAAATCACAGACATAACCTCCCCTTCAGAGAGTCCTGCATCCTGCACTGTATGTCTACTGAGTGGCACACAGTCAGATCAAAGCTGGAAAAATTTCTAATTCCATTAATGTAGCTGAGTTCCATGTCTTACTTGCTAAGAAAGAGAAAATACAGCTCCTCAGACCCACTGCATTCTCTCATTATTTTCATTAACTGCACCGGAAGGAAAAAAAAAATCAGTTGAGACAAAATAGAAGAAATATTTGTGGTCTGTGAGCAAAAGAAAAAATATGGGGTGGGTGGGGTCATGAATGAGTTAGGACAAGCAGGAATGATTCTGCTGAGGATATTTTAACACTGATGAACACTGGGGCTTCATCTGCCTTATGAAATAGCTTGGGTGGTGAAGGAGAAACTGGTCCTGCCCTTGATGATGAGGTGGCCCTGAGGTTTGAACAACAGTTGGAATACAGCTGCCTTGGTTAACACCAGGCAAGCACAGATGCCACAACCAAGTGGAAGTAATGTCATCCTATCCCCTGCTCCCAACTTCAAAATGTCAGTGCAGAAAAAGCATTGGTGAAGAAGGTCTTTAAAACAGACTAGTAGACTTTTTAAAATATCAATTCCACCTGTAATGAAGATGCTTTCTGCTCAAGTCTATGAGCAACAACTATTATGGTTTCACTCAATCAAAATCCTGATTGCTCAGCAGAATGAAAACAACATGGCTTGCTGCTTTCAGAAACAGGGACAGCCACAACAGATTCAGCCACAACACACTGCACTTGGTAATTCCAGACATTTTAGAAAATGTCCTCCTATAAGACAGTTTTCCCTCTAATTTCCTTCTTCAATAATCATTTTTCTTAAAAAAAAAAGTAGTGCTATCATTTTTTAATATTCTTAATGAATATTTTTGATAAGAAGATATACTCAAAGCCCCTTCCACTGTATCACAGAATTCATTTCCCTTCGAAGACCAACCAGTGGAGAGGAACATTCATTTCACAGAAACACACACAAAACCAACTTACCGAAAGCCTTCTTAGGTTCTATCAACTTCATGGTAAAGAGTTCTCCTTTCTTTAATTCCCTCAACTTCTTAGCAACTTGAACGTGACGACACCCAACAACATTTTCTCCATTTATGGATTCAATATGATCCCCCACACAAATTGTTTTAATTGAGTCAATAATGCTACCATCTCTAATCCTCTGAAAGAAAAAAGAACAGCAATAACAGTATAAAATAGAATTACATCACATGACTTTTCATGCTCTTGAGCTATAGCGTACAGTGTATCAAAGTTTTAACAACACAACTTAGTGTTCAGTTGAAGATGAAAGTCTAAGAAGCAAAGGGAAAGCATCTCACGTCCAACCAGTCTTCATCTTTCCTGTCATTACCACTGAACTCACTCACTATCTCCTCTGGGGAGCTTTTCCTGACCCTCAGCCCCTTCTCCCTGTGACTGGGTGGCACACCACTCTGGTATTTTATTAACCATTTTATCGTAAATATCGTGAGCTCCAAGCTAAATCGCCTACGTTTTGACATCTAATCCCAGCAATCTTTAAGAAATTCTCAAACTATTATCATCAGAAAAATACAGCTATAAAAGACTAACCTAGATATGCTGGATATCTTTTATCTTTAAATTGTATTTGATGCCAAAACTCTTAATATTTTTATCTTTTTTACCAAATTTTAATACTGTTCACTACAACACAACTATTAAAATGCTGTATGAAAATGATATAATAATACCACTATAGACAAAGCTCATTATTCATCATTATAAGTAATTTTGAATCCAGGACACCAAGAATTTCATAATCTCATATCATTTTATTAGAAATTCACGTTAGCCTTGTATAACTAAAGAAACAATGATGACCACAGCATATCAGCCAGTACAACTAGAATTTCTACACTATCACAGAAAAATAATTAAAATTAAAGTTTACAATCTAAGGAAGAAAACACTCTATTAAACAATCTATTATACAGCCATTCTTAAGCTATTAAAGATTTTGAAGATCTACATTTAACCTTAACTCCTCTCTAATTTTTATTCTAATTCATCCCTTGATATATCTTGAACCTATTTTTCTTTGATCAACTACATCCTACACATTTCAGCATCCTGCCTTATAACTTTGTTTAAAGCATTGGTATAAATGTTTTCATAATAAGCACTACACAACATTAAGCAAGTGAAAGACTTCAAAGATATGTGTGAATCTTACCAGTGAACTACAGGTCCTAGTAAGAGAAACCTGGTATTACCCAGGTCTGTGAGAAGCCACAAGGTCACCAGAAGAAAGCCAAGACACAAAGGTAGAAGAGAGGGCGTCACCAGAAGGCAGAGCAGGCAGCAGGGTGAGAACCCAGGGGAAAGCCAATGCACAGGGGATCTTGGCTTTACTGGGACAGAACAGAAAACAGTGTAAGAAACTTGAAGAACACCATCAAGATGAGCCAGACATTAAAGCAAAGCTGGAGACACTGATTAATGGGCTTAGCAACTACCTGAGTGTTAAACTCCTACACAGTTAGAATAAAAAATACACTGCAGTGGAGGAAACTTTCTGAAATCAAATAAGTTTTAATAATTACACAACAACTTGATAGACGCTTGTGCTAAAATTGCTGCTTGTGCCAAAAAAAAAAAATGCAGGGAAAAGGAGAGGCATTAATGCTACACTCATATTTACCAACTATTTACTTTGGTCTAACACTTATGAACTTTCTCTCATCTGTTAGAAACCATAAGTTTTATTATATGTATGCTTTGAATTTATTCGACTTTTTGCTATCCTGAGAAATGCTGAGGTTTGCATACTAAAACCGTACCTTTTTAAGGTTTGTCAAGGCTAGCACTGAGGCTCAGCAAATGAAACTGCCACCTGTAATACTGGCATCCTATAGGAAAAGTGGTTCAAGTCTCCACTGCTCCACTGCTGATCCAACTTGCTGCTTACACACCTTAGAAAGCAGTAGGAGAAAAAGAAAGAAAGCAGTAAAAGATGCCCCTGCTACCCAACATGAGAGACTCAAATGGAGTTCCAGAGTCCTGGCTTCAATCTGGTCCGCCCGGCCCTGCTGGCCATTTCCATTGTGAATCAGCAAATGGAAAATTCTCTCTTTCTCTCTCTTTTTCTGCCTCTTTCTCTCTGTAACTCAGCCTTTCAAATAAATTTTTAAAAAGCTCTGTCATCTTTTTACCTGAAAAGTTACATCTGTAAAACATATTTCTCTTCTATTGACCTCTCCTAAATTGTAATGATTTATTATTATTATTATCACAGTATCGCTTATCAATTATGAGCACTCAGTAATGTTTTATTTGTGCCGTCTTTTTTACACCCTGAATAACCCTCTACAGGAGGTGCTAATGTTCCCACGGGAGAGCAGAGTCAGAGAGGTTGAAGCATTTGTGTATCACGATTTGGTTGACTGAGGGAGAGCAGACATGATCCTGAAACCCACGCTCCTGCTCATCACATCACACGGCCTCCTAAATACAGACCCCTGCCCCTGCCACTGTCTTAGTCCTCGACATGGTCCTTCTCATTTCTAGCCACTACTTAAAAGCATGCCAAGCACTCCCTTTAGCAGCAGACATAAACCTACAGCCACGTGGAGAGTAGCCTGGCCCCTTCTAGAGCATGGCATGCAAGCTTAGGAAACCTTTCATTTTTATTCCTGTTTATCTTGGCAACAAGAAATGGAAAGCATATGTCAGAAATTTACAAATTTCTAGGGAAGAGGGGAAGAAGAGTGACGCCTCTCTGAATACATGTTTTAGCTTAGTTCTAACTTTTAAAATCATGTTAATGTTTCGTAGATTTAGAAAGTAAAACTGAATGAACGTGGTGAACATATAAGACCAGCAAAAGCAAATGGACCCAAGGAGTAAGAGTCATCTGAGGTGGGGGCTTGGAGGCCAGAGAACTACTCCAAGTCACATCCAGTACTCCGGAGACAGTACTCTGAATACCATGCTTTTTAAAGACTCTTCATCTATTCAGTCTAAAGACAAACTAAAGTGCACACAATTCTTAAACTCTTCTTGAAAAGTTTATTTTTCATGGTACTGTGTATAGAGAAATTCTAAAACCAGCTTGTATTTACCATATACTTAAACAAATGAGTAAATATTTGGATGATTTTGAAAGTAAATATTTTGATGGGGAAGTCAAGGGAGAACTTTGCCAGGAAGGATGTAAATTAGAGGCACAGATATTAATTCATAATTCCTAATAAATGTGTTGCTAATCCCCACCACCGAAAGGACTAGAAACCAGGACACTGCAGGAGTAATACATGAGCAAACTAGCACCACAACCTAGTCTTAAAATATCAATCCTCTCTTTAAAAAAAAAAAAAAAGCATGGCTGTTTAAAGAAATGATTGCTTTAAGGCCTCAGAAGCAAGGAGCTGCCCAATAAAATGATGGGAGCCCTGCATGTCCAAAGGACGTGAGACAGCTCACGGCCAAATCTCAGAAAATCAAAGCATCAAGATGAATGACAATTACAGGGTATAGCCAACAAGACATCAGGTGCTCATGCTGATAATAAATAAAGGACAAAGGGGTTTTTGCAATGGAATATTTTCTAAGAAATATTTAAGGAATGATATGAGAAAAATTCATCATTTTGCAACCATTATTGGAAAAATTAACTCAGGCGAAACTCACCAACAAATGCTAGCCGTTTGGGGAATAAGTAAGAGAGTGTTTTCATGATTTCAAAGTATCTCACCCCAGTACTTATTCATTACAAAATGAAACTCCCTGGGACCACAGCGGGTTAAGGCACCACTTGTAATACCAGCTGATTCAAGCACCAAGTGCTCCACTTCCAACCCAACTCCTAATTAACGTGTCTGGGAAGGCAATGGAAGCAGACCCATGTAGCTAGGACACTTCCGCATACAAAGGAGACCCGTGTGGAGTTCCAGGCTCCTGACTTCACCAGAAACAGCCCTGGTTTGTGTGGCTATGTGGGGAATGAACCAGCAGACTGATTTCTCTCTCTCTCTGTGTCTCTCTCTCTTCCTCCTTCTCTCCTTCTCTCCCTCTCTCCCTCTCTCTAACTCCACCTTTCATATAAATGAATATTTTAACTAAATAAAAAATAAATAAAAACTTATATCAGCCATGTGCACTACATGACATGCAGCTCTCACCAGCATCAAATTTCATATTGGCAGTTTGGATTTTGTGCCGCTTTCTCCTTTACAAGCACATCGTCTGTCTCCACAGGGCTACTGACTAGTACTCTGAGGCAGGCACATGTTTGACACGACAGTTAAAAAAAAAAATAGAAACACAAGCTCTGAATGTCACAGACTCACATCTAAAACATCCACACATGTTTGCAAAACTTCCAAATCCTCTGCTGGCCTTACAGAGGCACTGCTGCATGTGCCTCATGTCCTGAACTTCCCTTGGATAATCCCACATGACTTTCCCAACTCGCGGATTTTCCATTTGGTCACCCACTCAATCTTCAGCACAGTCATATCTTCTGCAGAGCTAAAAATAGCCATTCCATCAAGTTGGAAGTTAAAGTACCATTTACACTGAGAGCTTTACTGTGTTTAGTTTTTGCTTTTTTTTTTAATTCTTACTTCCATTTTACAGTTCTGTAGGTATAGGGTTTTCCCGTCATTTTTAGCAATGACAGTGCATCACAAGTCAAGATTTGGACAAAATACACAACTTGCTGTACTGTGTCAATCCCATCACTAATTCCTAGCCCAAAGAATAAAAATGCTGGCTTTAGAGTCAGACCTCTTTAATTCAAATCATGCATTTGTCCAGCTCTATGATTTTAGATAATCTGCCTAACCTCAATGAACCTGTTTCTACATTTGTCAAATAAGAATTTCTAGGGGTATGGGAGGGGTGGGGGGAATCCCCAGCGCCTATAAAACTGTACCACATAATACAATGTAAACAACAATTAAAAAAAAACTGTAAAAAAAAAAAAAAGAATTTCTAATAGGATCTACCTGTGTAAGAATCTCAGAGACATCATGTTGAGCCAAAGAAACAGCTAGTTACATAATGTCTGATTATAGAAGTTCGAAGACAAACAAATAGTGATGGAGGTCAGAGTAGTAGCTATTTGTAGAAGAGTATTAGCTGAGAAGAGACACAGAGCTTTCAGAATGGCAACAGTTCAGTGTACCTTGATCTGGATGGTGGTTACACAAATATCAATGTGAAAACATTGATTAATCTATATCTTAAAATGTTTGACCTCTGGGGCTGGTGAATGGCTCAATTGGTTAACTCTCCACCTCTAAGCTCTGGCATACTATTTGAGTGACAGTTTGTGCCCCAGCTCCTGCACTTCCCATCCAGCTTGCTGTTTGTAACTTGGGGAAGCAGTGGAGGATGGCCCAGGGCCTTGGGACCCTGTGCCCATGGGGAATATCTTCAAGGAAGCTCCTGGCTCCTGGCTCCTGGCTTCAGAATGACTCAGCTCTAGCTGTGTTCAGCCAGTTAAGGAATGAGCCAGTAGTTGGAAGAACTGGCTGTCCTTCCTAATCTCTGTACATCTGCCTTTCCAATGAAAATGAATTTTAAAAATCAAAGAAAAATGTTATAACTCCAACAAAAGCAAGTAAAAATTTAAAAAATAAGGAGCCAATTCAGCTTAAGCCAACATCAGCATCCAGATGAGCACTGATTCCAATCCTGATGGCTCCACTTTAAATCTGGCTCCCAGCTAAAACACCTGGGGAAGCAGTAGAAGATGGTCCAAGTGCTTGGGCCCTGCCACTCATATGGAGATCCAGGATGGAGTTCAGGCTCAAGGCTTCAGCCTGGACCAGCCCAAGCAGCGGTGGCTCTTTGAGAAGTGAACCAATGGACAGATCTTTCCCTCTCTTTCCATTTCTGTATCCGTCTCTTTCTTTATCTCTCACTTTCTCTGTATAATCTGCCTTTTAAATAAATAAAATAAGTATTTAAAATAAAAATAAGCCTCGTACCAATGATTAAGTATGAAAACAAACACTAGGAAACGCAGGAACTAAATAAAGATTGTGATTTTCACTAAGTTAATTGCTTTCATCTATTGTTGTTTTTTATGTTTGGTTTTTCTATTGACTAAGTAAAAAATTTTTTAAAACTTCAACATATTCTTTATTACAATGCCAATGAGTAAATTCTCATAATAAGTAGCCTATATGATAAAAACCTGCAAAATAACTACAACATAGTTAACATTCAATGTGTGTTTTCAACTGTCATTATAACTACAATCCTGTGGACTCCATATTTGTGGTTTCAACCCATCTTGGATGAAAAAAAAATTGTAAGAAACTGACCCTACTGAAGATGTACAGATTTTCTTGTTATTATTCCTTAGACAATTATAACAACTATTTACAAAGCATTTACATAGCACTGAGTATTATAAGTAATCAAGAGGTTATATAAAGCTTGCAGGAGGCTTCCAAAAGTTACATGCAAACTCAAGGCCATTTTATATGACAGACCTATTTGTTCACACACATTTGGAACAAAGGAATCCTGGAGCCAATTCCTGGTGGATACAGAGAAATGAATGTATTTATTATAACAGAACTGTTTGTTTAAAAATTTTTACTTGAAAATCTGGTTCACTTTTCCAGATAGCTGCAACAGCCAGGGCTACATCCAGCAGAGACCAGGAGAGAGGAACTCCATCCACGTCTCCCACATGGATGCAGTGGCCCAAAGACATGGGCCACTCTTATGCTGCTTCCACAGATATTTTAACAGGAATCTGGATCAAAAGTGAGCAGCAGGAACTCATCCTGGTGCCTACATGGAATGCTGGAGTCACAAGAAGCAACTTGATCCACTATGTCACAACATTACCCTAATAAAATTATTTGTAAGAGCTGTCTATCTTCCGTTTCACCACTCCTTAAATCTTGTAATTTTCATACCATTGAAACTTCTTTCTCTTGTCTCTGCAGCTCTGTTACTCTCTGTATTTAAATGAAGAATGACATGATTCAAACATAGTTCAAATCATTTGGAAGAGCTTTTTTTTTTTTCTTTTTGCCTTAGCATCTCTATTTTTATTGGAAAGGTAGATTTCCTTAGAGAAGGAGAGACAGAGAGAAAGATCTTCCATTCACTGGTTCACTCCCCAAGTGGCCACAACGGCCAGAGCTGAGCCAATCCAAAGCCATGAGCCAGGAGCTTGTTCCAGGTTTCCACACAGGTGCAGGGTCCCAAGGCTTTGGGCCATCCTTGACTGCCTCCTCAGGCCACAAGCAGGGAGCTGGGTGGGAAGTGAGCAGCTGGAGCATGAACTGGTGCCCATATAGCATGCTGGTGCTTGGAGGTGAAGGATAAGCCAGTTGAGCCATTTCATCAGCCCTTTGTAAGAACATTTTAAAACACATTCATAACGTAGCCAAAAGTACATACAGTTGGAAGTCACACTAAATCATTGGAAACCAGTGTGGAGGTTAAAGATGTTGAAGCTACAGATGTGGAAAAGCTTACATGGACAGGAAATAGAAATAGAATATAAAGTTTAAACTGAAGGTAAAAGATTCAAGCAGAGGGTAAGCAAAATGGTGTCTTGGAACACTTTTCTTTTAGAAGGTAAAACATTACCAAGTCATGTATCCCTGTTGATCCAGCTTTCTCTGAAACTCATTTCTAAATGTTATCCTCAGTACACCTGTTGTTTTTTTAAAGCTTACCTTTATAAAAGCATAGCCAGCACCGTTATCGGTTATAGTGAGACCAAGTGAATCCTCAGATTTATAAACATTCACTTCTTTTGCTGTTCCTTTTACGTGGGCAAATATGAAATCTTCAAGACCTAATTGTCCTCCTAGGAGTTTTTCCATGTTAACTTTAGGTGTGTTTAAAGTACAATATAAAATCTGCAAGAGACAGAAATATTTCAAGTCAGTTTCTACCAGGAAAGCATTACAGTCATTAATAACTTACGCAATAAATGTGTACTGAGTGAAATAGTCCTGTATTTATGGTGTCAAAGATTAAATCACAAAGTGTTTTGTGTATTGTTGCCTGCACAGAATCTAGCACATATTTTTACATAGTCTTACTAGATAATGTGCATTGACTGCTTTGTACAGGCTCTCTTCTGAGAAACTTACATCCATTATCTCATTTAATCTTGATATTAACTTTGTACATCACTAAACCCATACTATGGATGAAGAAACTGAGGCACAGCAAGATGAAGCAAACTGCCCAAGATTGTAAAGGTGGCCATTAGTACAGCCAAACATTTGAGCTCAGGTCTCACCAACCTCAGAAATGTTTAAGTTGCTTCTGCCATGTACAATATTGAAGTCTAAGATTATTGACTCAAGATCTGTGTGGTTCATGCACTGCATATTAAGTGCCTTGTATAATGTACTACCACAATGAGAATATAAGCAACCTGTAAGTAAAAACTGATGTATTTTTTAAGTAAGCAAAAAATGTTATTTCTCTCACAATCTAATGCTCTTGAAAAGAACAATTAGTGAATAAGGTATTAAAATGTATTGGAGTCAAAAGTCAGTCTTAATTACAAATTTATTCAATACTTTACTTTTTTAATTTTTAATTTTATTATTTTTTATTTTATGGTACAATTGCATAAGATCTGGATTACCCTACCCCCTCCCCAAATTCCCAACCCCCAACTGATTCCCCCTATATTACTACAATAGTATAGTCTTTCATAAGCAGTCATATATCCATCAGTCTGTTATTTAAGTGTGTCCTGACATTACTGATACAGACAATGCCAGATAGCCCACAATTTCATTTGGAGTCCATCGTTCATTTGCAAGTAGAGATACATACTGCATCGTATCTTCACATCTGGATATGATAGTCTCAATCATATCACTATACTTTCCTTCAAATGAGAAGCCATGAAATAAATTCACAACAAGAATTAAAGTAAAAAAAAAAAAATTACAGCACCATGGAGCTGCTACTCAATAAAAAACATATCGATGAAGAAATGACAAAGAAAACACAAAAGCTTCTTGAGTAAAATGATGCTACTCTGTGATCTCTGAGTCAGGGAAGAATTTGATAAGAGAAAAGAAACTATTTGGAAGAAATAAAAACAACAGAACACATGAGTTGCAGCAAAAACAGCATGGAAAGGGTTATTGTCTTATAACATACATGGGGGCTGCCTTATATCAGAAAGAACAGATGGCATTTTTCCTTTGGGGATTGATTTATTTCACCGAGTATAACGGTCTCTAGCAGAGACCATGTAGCTGCCAGTGCTATAATTTCCCTCTTTAATGGCTGGGTAATATCCCATGGAGTAGACGAAGCACAGTTTCTTTAATCAGTCCTCTTTAGACGGGCATCTGGATTGTCTTCATGTCTTTGCTATTGTAGATTGTGCTACTGTAAATATAGGATTACAGATCCCCTTCTCACATGCAGTTTTCATTTCCTTTGGATATATTCCTAGAAGCAGGATAGTTGGGTAATGTGGCAGGTTTATTTGGAGTTCTCTAAGCACTCTCCATACTGATTTTCATAGTGGTTGTGCTAGCCTCCACTCCCACCAGCAGTGAAGGAGGGTACCTTTCTCCCCACATCCATGCCAGCAGGTGTTGTTGGTAGAGTTCTGAATGTAGGACAACCTCACTGGAGTCAGATGGAACCTCAAGGTGGCTTTCACTTGTATCTCCCTGATGGCTAGGGAGCCGGAGCATCTTTCCATATGTCTGTTAGCGATTTACATTTGTTCTTTTGAAAATTGTCTGTTCATTTCCTTCACCCATTTTTTAAAGAGTTATTTATTTTTATTGCAAAGTCAGATATACAGAAAAGAGGGGAGACAGAAAGGAAGATCTTCTGTCCAATGATTCACTCCCCGAGTGACCGCAACAGCCGGTGCTGCACCGATCCAAAGCCAGGAGCCAGCAACTTCCTCCAGGTATCCCACAGGGGTGCAGGATCCCAAGGCTTTGGGTCATCCTCAACTGCTTTCCCAGGCCACAAGCAGGGAGCTGGATGGGGAGCAGGGCTGTGGGAATTAGAACTGGTGCCCATATGGGATCCCAGCGAGTTCAAGGCGTGGATTTTAGCCACTAGGCCACTGTGCTGGGCCCATCTTCGCCCATTTTTTTACAGGGTTGTTTTTTACTGTGTCTGCATTTCTGAAGCTCTTTGTAAAGACTGGATATTAGTCCCCTATCAGCTGTGTAATGTGCAAAGATTTTTTCCCATTCCATTGGTTGCTTCTTCACTTTGTTAACTGTTCCCTTCGCTATACAGAAGCTTTTTAGTTTGATGTGGTCCCATTTGCTTATTTTGTCTTTGACTGCCTGTGCTTTTACAGCCTTTTCTAAGAAGTCTTTCCCTATTCCTGTATCTTGGAGAGTGCATCCTATGTTCTCCTTTAACAGTTTGATGGTTTCTAGTGTAGAGTTAGGTCCTTAATCCATTAATAATGTGACAGGTGCGGGTCTTCTTACCTCTGCAGGCTGGTATCCAGTTGTCCCAACAACATTTGTTAAAGAGAACAGGCTTTTTCCCTGGATTGTGTTCAGGTTTTTTTTTTTTCAAGGATTAGTTGGCTACATATGTGTGGGCTCCCTTCTGGGGTTTCTATTCTGTTCCACTGATCTTTTCTATGTCTGTACAACAGGCTGTTTTAATGGCCACTGAGCTATGAGATCTCTTGAGGTCTGGGATTGTGATTCCTCCAGCTTGATTTTTATTATTCAGGATAGCTTTGACTATTTGTGGTCTCTTATGATTCCGGATGAACTTCTGTTTCTTCTTTCCTATTTCTGAGAAGAATGTTGTTGGGATTGATTTGGATTATGTTGAATCTGAATATTACTTTTGGTAATTGGACATTTTGATTATGTTGATCCTGCCAATCCAAGAACATGGTAGGTTTCTCCATTTTCAATGTCTTCTCCTATCTCTTTTTTTAATGTTTATAATTTTCTTCATGGAGGTCTTCCACAAATTTAGTTTAATTCTTAGGGATTTAAGATTCCTCTCACTAGTTTAAAGGGGACTGTACTTCTAATTTCTTTCTCAGTCATAGAATTATTTGTGTACACTAACACCAAAGATTTGTGATCATTAATTTTTTATCCTGTTACCCTGCCAAAGTCTCTTGTGAGTTCCAATAGTCTCTTCACTAAGTCTTTTGGTTCTCCTAAGTAGAAAATCATGTCATCTGAAAATAAGGATGATTTTATTTCCTTGATTCCAATTTGAATTCCTTTAATCTGTTTTTCTTGCCTAATAGCTCTGGCAAAGACTTCCAAAACCATATTGAAGAGTAGTGGTGAGAGTGGACATCCTTGTCTAGTTCCAGATCTTAGTAGAAAAGCTCCCAATTTTCCCTCACTTAGTATGATGCTGGCAATGCGTTTTAGTATATTGCTTTGATTGTGTTATAGAATGTTCCTTCTATGCATATCTTGCTTAAGGTTCTCAGCATGAAGTGGTGTTAGATTGCATCAAATGCCTTCTCTGCATCGATTGAGATGATCATGTGGTTTTTATTTTCAACTTGTTGATGTCACATTTATTGATTTGCAGATGTTGAACAATCCCTGGATGCCAAGAATTAATCCTACTTGGTCCGGGTGAATGATCTGCCTGATGTACTCTTGTACTCAATACTTTTTTAAAAAGGAAGGACTGTGTTTTAGAAAGAGTTACAGCTACTGGGCCCGGCACGGTGGCACACCTGGGATCCCATATGGGCGCCGGTTCTATCCCAGCGGCCCCACTTCCCTTCCAGCTCCCTGCCTGTGGCCTGGGAGAGCAGTCGAGGACGGCCCAAGGCTTTGGGACCCTGCACCCGCGTGGGAGACCTGGAAGAGGCTCCTGGCTTCGGATTGGCATAGCATCAGCCGTTGCGCTCACTTGGGGAGTGAATTATCGGACGGAAGATCTTCCTCTCTGTCTCTCCTCTCTGTATATCTGCCTTTCCAATAAAAAAATAATAAAAATAAATCTTTAAAAAAGAGAGAGAGAGAGTTACAGCTACTAAGGAGAATGGCAGGGGGCAGAGCAGGATTGTGGTAGGTTAAGCTACCACCTGCAACACAGGCATTCCACACTGGGCGCCAGTCCAAGTTCCAGCTGCTTCACTTCTGATCAAATTCCTGCTAATGTTCATGGGAAAGCAACAAAAGATGGCAAAGTGCTGCCATCCACATGAGAGAGCCAAATGAACCAAACTCTTGGCTTCAGCCTGGGCCAACCCAAGTTATTAAAGTCATCTGAGAAGTGAACAAGCGAATGGACAAAGCCTCTCTCTGTATCTCCCTCTCTCCAACTCTGCCTTTTAAATAAATAAACCTTTTATACATATATATGTATACATATATATGCATGTATACATATATGTAGATAAACACACACATATATATACATATAGAGAAAGAGAAATTAAAGCTACTTGCCCAAATTCATGTGATTATAGAAAAAGAGCAAAAAAGAAACAACAGTACAAAGCTGCGTAGTTTTTTTGTTTGTTTTCTTTGAGATTTATTTGTTTATTTGAAAGACAGAGTTACAAAGAGAGAGGGAGAGACACAGAGAGAAATATTCCAATGGTAGTTGACTCCCCAAATAGCTGCATTGGTCATCGGTGGACCAGGCCAAGACCAAAAGTCTGGAAGTCCATCTTGGCTTCTCACATGGGTGACAGCGGTCAATGTACTTGGAGCCAACTTTTGCTGCTCTCAAAGGAGCATCAGTAGGAAGCTGGATCTGAAGTGACATAGCTGGCATCCAAGCCAGTACCCATGTGGGATCCTGGTATCCATTGCAGGCAGTAGCTTAACCTGCTACCTTACAGCTCAAGTCCCAAGAAAGCATTTCAATATGGCTGTTCTTTGTAGACATAACTAACTAGAAT